CGGAGCGGAGCGCAACCCCCGCAGCCGGGCACGGAGCGGAGCGGAGCCCCGGCGCCCCGGCACGGAGCGGAGCGGAGCCCCGGCAGCTGGGCACGGAGCGGATCTCAGCCTCGGCAGCCGCGCACGGAGCGGATCGCAGCCCCGGCAGGCGGGCACGGAGGGGAGCGGAGCCCCGGCGCCGGGCACGGAGCGGATGGCAGCCCCGGCAGCAGCGCGGAGCCCCGAGCTGCGGCGGCGAGCGGAGCCGGCTGCTGGCACCGGGCGGGCAGGGCGCAAGGCGGGGCGCGGGCGGCGGGTGCGCGGCGGGGGCTGCATGTGCGGCGAGAGCCGCCTTCCTCCCCCTCGCTCCCCTCGCTCCCTGCCTGCCTCCCCTCCTTCCCCGCCAGCCCAGCCCAGCCCAGCCCAGCCCGGCCCGGCCCAGCCCAGCCCAGCCTCTGCTGGAGACTCTGAGAATGCAGCGCCGGGTCCGCGCCCCGGACCGGCCCCGGGGCCTCCCCTGGAGACCAACGCGGGAGCCGCCCTGGGGATCCCGCCTGGCCCCGGCCCTGGGGCAGCGGCTCTTCAACCGCGCGGGCTGGCGCGGCCCCCGGCGGGGCGGCGRGGCGAGGMTCTGCCCGCAGCTCGGGTCCGCTCCCAAGCCCGCGGTTCCCCCTCTACCCAGGAGCCCGCATCGCCTCCGCCGCCCCCAGAGCCGTGCCGGTCGCCCCGGGGACGGGGGCAGGGCGCGGACAGGGACAGGGGCAGACCTGGCTCCCCGCAGGTTGGGGGCAGCCCTCCTGTGCCCGGTGCTGAGAACTGACTCAGTGCATGGAGCACAGGACTGAGCCGGGGCACCAGGGCATCGGACAGGTCAGGGACYGAGACTGCAGCCCAATCTTCCACAGCCTTTGGATGGTGCCAGACACTGATGGCCCAGTGGCATCGTAGCAGGAGCTTTGTCAGGGGCTCTGGGCACCACTGGGGCTGAGGCTGGAGCTGTCAGACCCCATTCTGCTGTGCGCTAGGGTGGCCATGGTGGTTGGMATCCTCAGTATCCACCTCAGGTCGTTGGTATGTTCTCCAGAGTCTTGCTAGAAGCGTGGTGGGCACTGTCCTGGCCCAGCAGCATTTTGAGGGTGCGGTAGAGTCACACACCAGCAGCAGGATGCTGGGTGTACAGACCCCTATGGGCATGACCAGAACCAGTGGAAGGTGGCAACAGGGAAACGCAAGGCTGGTGAGTCTGTAGTAATATTTGGGGACAGATAAATCTKGTCTTGCAAGTCAGGTTTTAGTCACAGCTCAGGCAAACAGACTCCATTGGGACATTTTCCAGTCTCCACTGCCCAGACACATCTTACCTGAAGAAAATACTCTCCTGTGTCCACAGCATTCTCTGTTATTTGGCCCTAGAGTCTGGCCCTGAAAGGGACACAAGAGGACACTGAGAAGGGAATGCTCTGTTGCTCCAGGTRTACAGCACAAGACAAACAAATCCTCTGCTTGGCCAGTACTGGTCAAGAAACTGTAGTAACCCAGTAGCRGTTTATCCACAAACTGCCTGGCTCTGCTGCTTTCTGCACAGGCAGGTAGCCTGTAGGTGAGGGAGAGGTGGGTGGAAAGCAAAAGAGAGGTTTATAACCTCAGCATGGATCCAGGAGGATCTTCCTTTCCAGGACCAAAAGATGAGCAGGGCACAGATCCAGCAGCAGGCTCCGATAGCTGTCCTTTGCACATTTGCACTGGCTGGCACAAGRCTTCTCACCAAACTACTGTTGCATGATCCCACCCTCAAATGCCAAGGGAGCCCTGAAGACACCCCAGGAAATGCTCAGTATCAGCCTCTTCAGACACAGAAGCATCTAGAAATGTCCTCAATCCCAGTGAGATTGAGAGTGAGAGACCTCCCAGCTGCAAGCACTGCTGCCAAAGTAGATCCCACTTGAGCCTGCTGCTCTTGTAGGGAAARGAGCAAAGCCTGAAGCACAGCTGCTCCACTGCTAACACAGTCTGCAAACAGAGACCGTGCACGCAGTGCCAATCTAGCCCTAGGACAGCTGTGAGGCTTTTGTGCCAGCACTGACACTGGCACTGGGAACACCCAGATCCTTTCCCTGGGACAGCCAAGAGTCCACCTCTCACAGTGCAGATGGAGTTGAGCCCACCTGGCTGGAAGCATTCAATAAGCTGGTGTGATACTTGGAGGAGATGGTCCCAGCACTTGTCTGTAGTCACAGTGCCCTTTTGCAGCCTGTTTTTGCTAARACCCCCTTGTTCTGGAGACACAGAAGATTTGTCTCTCCTACCATTGCCCCCACCCCTGTAGCACAGCAGCTCCATGCCTGATCTAGTTAAAGAAGTCCCTGYTTATCACACATGGGTTGGACTAGGCGACCTTTAAAGCTCCCTTGCCACCCAAACCAGTCAATGGCTCAATGATTCCATGCCCTCTTGCTGCTGTCATGCAGGTGCTGATAAGGCCAGGCAGCCTGTCCCAGCTCAGCTCTCAGACGAGCCTTGGAGGTCACCATAACAAGACAGTCCTTCCACAAGACCTSAAATCAGCAGGGCTTCAGCGTATGCCCAGGTCACACAGCAGCACAGGCCAGGAGCCACTGCAGGGAATGAATGATGGAGAATGCAAAGCAGAACTAAGGACCACCCATGACATGATCACTCGTGTTGTGAGTGTGGCTCCCCACGAACACTGAATGCAGCCTCCAAAGCTGTGTCTCKCAGACTCTCAGAAGCTGACATGTCACTTTCAAGTCATGGCTTGTGTTCCTAGTGACAGAAGGATGGACGGGTTATCCTCTGATTTTGCTGCCATCCCCTTTATCTCCATGGGAATTCAATCCTGGAATCTAGCTTCGCCTTTCCTCTTATTCCCATCATTGCTTTACCCCAGYATTCAAATAACTCTTTTGTATTTTTTTAGCTCTCCTCTACCTGCAGCACTGTTCCCTTACTCTGATACACTCTCCCCATCTCATTGAGCTCCAGGCCCCTTTGCTTTGTTCTCTCCCTATCTCTCCCTTTCTTTCTGCTGGTGCCTTGTTCCTTTTCTTGTTGTGTTTTGTCTTCTCTGCTCTGTCCCTTTCACTCATCTATTCTCCTTATCTCTTTTTGCTTCTTCCTCTTCCTTTTCCCAGTCTTTGCACTCCCCCCGTTCCTCTGTGTGCCTTTGTCTGTAAGGAGTTGAAAGTTAAAAGCTTTTCCAACTTGATCCTGAGCAGCTTTCCCTGGTGCTTTCATCTCCACAACACATTTGTAAAACTGCTCAGACTGAAGAGCCATGACATGA